CCAAATTTCTTGGCAGAGATGAGTGAGTGCCTCCTGTGCCGCCTCACTTTCCTGAAAGATTTCTATTTTTATTCCATCAATTCCTGGTGCCTTGTGATGGTCAAATGGTGATGGCCAAGTCACATTGATTAAAGGTAGGGTGGCACAATTGATTATATTAAGTGCTCTCAATAAGTTCTTGTTTTTGTTAAATGCCGTCGAGTCTGTTCTGACTAATAGAATTTCCAAGGAGTGACTGGTTGAGTTTGAACCGCCTACCTTGCAGTTCAAACCAATCTTGCATCCTGTGCTTATCCTATAACACCACACCAGGACTCCAATAAGTACCCCTATGAAAAGTTGAATTGACAAAAGTTGTGTGGTAGACTTACTTAGAACAGTGACAAAAAAGAGAAAGTAGCTTCTGAATCGGTTCTTTGATTTGGGTGTTTAGGGCCGTGGTTTCATGGGACATCCCAGTTAAATGGCCTAATAATATGCTTAGTCCTTCTGTTCTGCCTTCATTGAGTAGTACCAAGTGCCATCCATCTGCCTACAGCAACAGGAGAAAAAGGAGACTTAGGAATCGTAGAGAATGGGATGTGGCTAGCTGCCTCTAGGAACAACTAACTGGTCATGACATCAGAAGAACTGGATGATGCCTGGCTACCATTACTGAACATTTAGACCAAAGATTCTATAGAAGAATTCTCATCAAAGGGGGGCAAGTGCAGAAGAGAATTCCAAATTCTTTTGGAATCTAGACTTACTAGAGCTGTGGAGACTGGAGAAAACCTTGAAATGCTTGTCCTGAAATAAGCTTTAAATCTTAAATCCAAAATGTCCCCAGAAGTCTTCTTAAAACTAAATAGATTCACTTTACTATAAAAAAATGTGTGCCTTGAGCATTGTGGTTTTGTTGTTAAGTGTCATCAAGTCAGTTCAGACTCATAGAGACCCTTTACGGGGTTTCTGAAGAGCTGCTGGTGGATCTGAACTGCCGATCTTGTAATTCATACAGATTTTGTGGTCCTGTGCATACCTTAATGTCTTGAGCATTCGGCGCTTTTGGATACAATCTACATAGAAAGATCTGGCAACAGCGAATTGGAAGGTTCGATAGGAGCCTAGGGAGGGCCGTGAGGCGATGTGAGTAGAAGAGGAGCAACTCAGAAAAGTGGAGGGGGGGATTGCACATATTGAATAATGTAATCAACTTCACGGGGTAATCAGTGTACATACTGTGTATCTTTTCAACAACAAAATGAACAAAATTAATTTACATTTTTATCAAAGGGAGTACTTTAGAATCACTGTTTTATGGACTACAGCCCTGAGCTCAACAGACTGAATCACTGCCCGGTCCTGCATTAGCCTCACAGGTGTCGTTATCTTTGAGCCCGTAGCTGCCCGTCACTGTATCAGTCCAATACACTGGGGGTCTTCCTCTTTGTCACCCACCCTCCACTTTACCAAGCAAGACATCCTTCTCCAGGGACTGTTCCCTCCTGACTACAGGTCCAAATAGGAGAGACAGAGTCTCAGCACCCTAGCTTCTAAGAAGTATTCTGGATGTATTTCCTCCAAGACAGAGTTGGTGGTTCTTTTGGCAGTCCATGGTACTTTGAGTATTCTCCAACACCATAACTCAAATGCATCAGTTCTTCTACGTTGTTCATAGTCTAACTTTCACATGCATATGAAGCAAGTGAAAATTCCATGGTTTGGGTCAGGTAGACCTTAGTCCTCAAAGCGCTCTTGAACACTTGAAAGAGGCCTTTGCAGATGATTTGCCTAATGCAATACGTCCTTTGGTTTCTTGACCACTGCTTCCATGAGAGTTGATTGTGGATCCAAGCAAAATGAAATCTTTGACAACCTCAATCTTTTCTCCTTTTGTTGTTGATGGTAAGTGCTCTCAAGTGACCCTGTAGGGGGTTTCCAAGGAGTGAACTCACCAACCTTGTGATAAGCTGTCCTGTACAGCGTCACACCAGGACTCCTTTTATCATGAGGCTACTTATAGATCCAGTTGTCTGGATTTTCGTTTTCTTTACATTGGAGTGTAATCCACAGTGAAGCCTATAGTGTTTGATCTTCATCAGTATTTCAAGTCCTCTTCATTTCCAGTAAGCAAGCTTGTAGCCTTTGCATATAGCAGATTGTGAATGACTTTTCCTCCAGTCCTCATGCATGTTCTTTTTCATAGAATCCAACATCTTGGATTATTTGCTCAGCATACAGATCGAAGTGTGCTGAAAGAATACAACCCTGGCGTACCTGATTTTGAACCATTCCGTATCCCCTTGTTTTGTTTGAATGAATGACTGTCTGTTGGGCTTTGTCCAGGTTCCTAATGAGCACAAATAAACGTTCTGTAATTCCCATTCTTTGCAATGTTATCTGTGGTTTTTTATGATCCAAACAGAATCACTGTGGTGAAGTGGATGCTGAGTCTAACACTCTGATTCATTCAGACCTTGCTGGGTCTCATTATGTTGCACAGGCAAGTTCCTCATTCCGGGGGGAGGCCTGAGACTCAGCATGTCGAGTCAGCTCTAATCCTGCAGCTCTGTCTACTACAGGTGCCTTCAACAGCAGACTTGCTACCTTCTTGGCTTCGACTGTATACATTTGGGCTGGACTGTAACCTCTTTGAAACTTCTATTTGATCCCATTTCAAAATAACTTGCCGGTCTTGCTAACCTTGTCCTTTTTGTTCCTCTTCTTCTCATGTATGCAGATGAGCACCAGTTGCATCTAGAAGTTCCATCCACGGTAAACAACACTCCAGCTCCCAAGACGGCAGGCGATTTCCCCACGATAGCCAGGCATCCCTGCTCCCAAGAACTGAGAACCATGGAGCTCTCCGACAACGACCGTCCCATCAGCTTTGGCTCCACATCTTCCTCAGCCTCCTCCAGGGACAGCCACGGTTCCTTCGGCAGCAGGATGACCTTGGTTTCGAATAGCCACCTGGGCTTGTTTAGCCAAGACAAGGAGGCAGGAGCCATCAAACTGGAACTGGTTCCAGCCAGGCCATTCTCCAGTGAGCTGCCCAGGACTGGCCCAGCCGAGCAGCAGGGCTCAGGGGTGAGTGGAGAGAGGCAGCCACAGGCTCAGTGGAGAGGGGAAGCCAGCGGAGCCCCCAAAGCCAGTGCAGAGAGCAACGCAAGCCCCAAGCTCCTCTATGTGGATCGAGTGGTGCAGGAAATTCTGGAGACAGAAAGGACGTACGTGCAGGATTTAAAAAGCATCGTAGAGGTAAGGCCAACTTAGTCTTTAAAATTTGTCACACAGGATAAAAATGCTTGCAAAACAAACAGAACAAAGCCAGGTGTTGGAGGCAGACAGTATCCTAGGGTGTGGAAGTAGTTTACGGTTTAACCAGATCTTGCCGTAAGAGAATTCTGAGGGCTGCCCTCACTTCTAGGTTGCTCATTACTGCTGAGTCTGCCAGAGGGAACGTGGCCGGCCGTGTGCCTTCCTCAGGGTCAGTGATGTGTCCGAGAGTCTCCTGGAAGGTTTCTCTTGTTTGTGCTGACCTTCTACGTTACCAAACACGGTGTCCTTTTCTATAACGGGTCTTCCTGATGGCATGTCCACAACATGCAAGCCCAAGTGACCACATCCTTGCTTCTAAGAAGCATTCTGGTTGTCAAGGGGGCTTCAGAGTTTCATGGAGAATGGAATGAAAAGATAATGGAATTTTTCCACCAACTCTTTGAAGGCCCCTCGTATTTCTTCTAAGATTGATTTGTTCATTCTTCTGATAGTTGTTAAATATTGTTAAGTCGGTTTTGACTCACAGAGACCCTGTATAGGGTTTCCAAGATCAGCTGGTATGTTTGAGCTGCCAATCTTTGGTCACCAGTCCAGTGCTTATTTCATAACACCACACCACTAGTGGCTGCTTTGTCATATCCATGGCCCTTTCTTCCAAAGGTGGACTTGAACCTGCAACCTTTCAGTCGGCAGGTAAGCGTGTTAACCCCTTGAACCACCCAGGGACTCCTCTTGGATGGTGATGCCCATTTGTGCTCCCACCAGGATTTTGTGCTAATGGCCTTTCAGCAGAGGATCTCAGAGTGCCCCAGATATGGGGTAGGACTGGAAGAGTGCTGACTTCCAGGTGTCAGGTGTAACCTCGCTGAGCCCTGAGGCCATCTGTACCTTCATCACAGCTCTGCTGGCACCTGCACACAAAATCACTGGGTACCTTCCTCCCCAGAACCAAGTTCGTTTGTCTGAGGTTCCACGTGGGCTTTGGGATTGTAATGATTCCCAGGTGATCCTAAGGTGAGGCTATGTCTGGGAACCACGCCTGTGTTGTGCTCTGTATTGTTGGTGTTTGGAGGTGGGGGGTAATGAGGGACAGGGGTTTTATTTTGGGTCTTTCCTTTCTCTTCACCTTTGCAGTAAACAGTTTTGCGTATTTAACTCCATGTGAATGGAGCCCAGTTTATGTATTGGGCACATAATGGAGACTCAATTTTGATTTCTAAGTTGATTTTGAAAGATAAATTAAGACTTGCCAGAGAAGCTTAGGTACTAATTCATTCTCCATATGTGAGTATGATTAAAAATATTAATACAAAAAGAGCAAATTTATATATTATAAAGCTATACAAAAGAGCCCTGGTATTGCCACAGGTTAAGCATTGGGCTAGTACTGGAAAGGCTGATGGTTTGAATCCACGAGCTGCTGCTCAGGAGAACAATGTGGCATTGTGTTTCCAGAAAGATGTGTGGACCTGGAACACTCTGGGACAGCTCTGCGCTGTCCTCTAGAGTGGGTTTGACAAAACAATAATACTAGCTTTGCTGTTTAGTAATATGCCAAATTCTTAACTGTGTTATAACCCACTTCCTCTTTTCACTTTTAATCAAAAATGTGTCGCAGGGTGGAATAGGGTTTTAGCTGATGAGCACATTCTCTACTAAATTCTTACATTCTTACAGCTTACAGGAAAGAATTCTAAAGGCTTATTGTATTCTATTAGTTCTGCAAGCAATAGAACTAGCTACAGTCTGCTAAAAATAGTTATGACATAGCCTCGCAGTAAAAATAGAAAAGTCAATTGATGCTTAAAGCAAAACAATATGTGGTACCAAGTGTAGAACAAAATGAGCCAACTTTTTTTTTTCCAAAAGTGATGTCATTTGTACTTGAGAAGAAATACCTATGAACCTGCCAAAAGTTGTACAACCTCTCCGGAAACTTATGGTTGCCAAAGATTTCTTTGGTCTGTGCTTTTTTTTTTTCTTTCTTTCTTTTCCTGGAAACTTTTTTACCTAATCAAAACTTCCCATCCAGAGAGAGAAACCTTTTGTTACTGAGCTCATCTTCTGAAAGTGCTCTTTTTTTTCCTGAGGCTGTTTGATAAACCTGGTGTGATGGTAGTGGTTATGTGCTGTGGAGTCGGTTCTGACTCATAGCTACCCTGTACTAGGGGTTGGTGACGTGTCTGTAAAGGGCTAGACTCATAGCTACCCTGTACTAGGGGTTGGTGATGTGTCTGTAAAAGGCTAGACTCGTAGCTACCCTATACTAGGGGTTGGTGACGTGTCTGTAAAGGGCAGATAGTAAATATGTTACGTTTTCTGGGCCTGGCAGTATCTGTCACCACTCAGCTCTGCCTGGCATAAAAGCCACCTCAGACAGTACATCCATAAACATAGGCAGTACATACAACCTCAGACAGTATATCCATAAACATAGGCAGTACATACAACCTCAGACAGTACATCCATAAACATAGGCATTGTGCCGCAGGCTGTTGACCCCCACAGTGAGCTGAGAAAATTGTGCCTAAATTTCATCAAGTGTAAAATAAAGCTTATCAAAGTGCCTGCCTCATAGAGTTAATGTGAGAATTAAATTAGAGACTACATCAGAAGGAGTGCCTGGGGAGTGGTGCAAATTGTGTCCCTCTGGTAACCCAAAGGTTGGAAGTTCAGGGCCACCCAGAAGTGCTGTGGAAGAAAGGCCTGGCATCTACATCCAAAAACTTAGCCACTGAAAACCCTGTGGAGCACAATTCTACTCTGATACACATGAAGTCACTGTGCATCAGAGTCGGCTTGAGGTCACCTGGGAGTACACCAGTGCTTAGTACCCAGCAGGCAGTGAACAAGGGAAACATTAGCTATCACCATCACCAGCCTTTTCTGAATTTAAGAACTAGCTGCATGTCGGCAGTTCAGTAAGTTTTGAGGTGTGACTTAGCAAATATTCTTGATTTTTCAAATAGAACGTTTGAAATTGGGGAAAGGGCTGCTCATTAACAAGCACACCCAATAGACAGGTCGTCTTGCAAGTTAGCGCTTTCTGGGCATGAGCTCTTTCTGAATTAATGAGCCTAATCATTTAGCTTGATAACTGGTAAGTTACTGTTTACATTGCAGGAGCACACTTTGTGGTTTCATATACTGTTTTACTGAGTCGCATCTAATATCAACCAGTACTTCAGTGGATTAGGTGTTGGACTGCTAACCACAGGTCAGCAGTTCAAACCCACCAATCTCTCTGCATGAGAAAGATGAGGCTGTCTGCTCCTATAAAGACTTCCAGTCGTGGAAACGCTTCAGAACAGTTCTCCTCTGGCCTACAGGGGCACCACGAGTCAGAATCCACTGGACTGGAGCTAGCTTTTGGTTTGTTTAGGGGGTAGTGACTCTCCCTGATTTAATTTACCCTCAAGTGACAAATTTTATCCTAATACCACATAGCCCCCCAGCGAGATGGATCAACACAGTGGCAGCAGCAATGGGTTCAAACGTAACAACAGTTGTGAGGACGGCGCAGGACCGGGCAGTGTGTCCTTCTGTTGTGCAGACAGTCGCTATGAGTTGGAACTGACTAGATGGCACCTAACAGCAGCGATATAGATGCAGGGTCCTCACAGCTTATTTAGGTGTTTTAGGATTTGTAAGCAGCCACATTTTTGTGAAAGATTACTAATATCTACCGTAAACGATTAGACACAAACAATAATGGCTACTTGGCATGGTCCAGACATCATCAGGATAGCTTAGAAATTAATCCTTAATGCCTTCTGAGATTTTATCTAAAAGATCATTCCTGTTCCTCCTCACACGCTTCTCTCTGGGTCCCCTACCCTTAGCCTCTGCTCTTTTGTCCAATAAGCTTAACATATGCCTAACAGACTTTTGTACACTTGACACTTTACAGAGAGAGGGATGAGGTCTTGACAGTCACCTGTACTCAAAGGAGTAACAGCACTATTACTTCCATTCTGTATACGGCCACTAAGAGTATTCATGGATGAAATGAGATATTGCATATGAAATCAGTTTTTAAGAGTTAAAAGTAAAATGACCAATGTTATAATTTGTGGTGAGATAAAAGTCCATAGCTGAACATAAGGGACTCTTTCATGTTGGATGGGACCTTTGATTGGTGAGGACGGTTCTCATGGGGAGAGTGGATTTCTTTAATTTTCCTAAAGGATCTATAAAAGAGCCTTTGACAGCCTCATGAGATTGTCCCCAGATAGAACTCATGGCCTGTTTTAACCTTTTGGGAGCATTTTTAAATAGTTCATAATGCTGTGTAATTAGAAGTTATGGCGTTACTGCAAACTGGCATCTTTGAACTATGTTGTTGTTGTTGTTGAGTGCCGTCGAGTTGATTCTGACCCATAGGTACCCTGTATAGGGTTTCCAAGGAGCAGCTGGTGAGCTTGAACTACCGACCAAATGACTTTGAACTACCAAAGTTTAAACAACTTTACAGTGTGACACATTAACCCACAGCACCACATAAGAGAAGCTAAATCAAACCATCTTCCAGGATGCTGAAGACATGTGTATGTAGTGAAAAAAGTGATACTTTAAGTATATCTTATGATATTTTTTCTATCTTATGCCAGAGATCTAAAATCCTTTTCAAGTAGTAGTCAGTTCTGACTGATATAGGTTTTCCAAGGAGCGACCTCGTATAGGTTTTCCAAGGAGCGGCTGGTGAGTTTGAACTGCTGACCTTGTGGTTCAAACCAACTTTGCGGCCCAATGCTTTATCCCACAGTACCACACCGGGACTTGAAATACACAGACTACGGTTCTTTTCCTTTGCAGTTGTTTGAGCAGAGGTTACTCAGTAATGGCAGGACCAGATAAGTTGTAAAGAGAACTGTCTTACATGTGGAAAACAGAACTCCCAAATTTGTGAGCAGTGACTAAAGGAGTCCCAGGGGCCAGGCCTAGGAGTGTGTGCAGTGACCCCACCACATATTCTACCC